TAAACTATAAACTATATATATATAGTACATACTATATATATATAGTATATAGTATAGTATATATACTATACTATATACTATATACTATATATATACTATATATACTATATACTATAAACTATATACTATAAACTATAAACTATAAACTATAAACTATAAACTATATACTATATACTATATATATACTATATACTATATACTATAAACTATAAACTATAAACTATAAACTATAAACTATAAACTATAAACTATAAACTATAAACTATAAACTATAAACTATATACTATATACTATATATATATACTATATACTATATACTATATACTATAAACTATAAACTATAAACTATAAACTATAAACTATAAACTATAAACTATAAACTATAAACTATAAACTATAAACTATAAACTATAAACTATAAACTATAAACTATAAACTATACTATATACTATATACTATATACTATATACTATATACTATATACTATATATAATACTATATACTATAAACTATATATATATATACTATATACTATAAACTATAAACTATAAACTATAAACTATAAACTATAAACTATAAACTATAAACTATAAACTATAAACTATAAACTATATACTATATACTATATACTATATCTATATTCTATATATTCTATATTCTATATTCAATATTCAATATTCAATATTCAATATTCAATATTCAATATTCAATATTCAATATTCAATATTCAATATTCAATATTCAATATTCAATATTCAATATTCAATATTCAATATTCAATATTCAATATTCTATATTCTATATTCTATATTCTATATTCTATATTCTATATTCTATATTCTATATTCTATATTCTATATTCTATATTCTATATTCTATATTCTATATTCTATATTCTATATTCTATATTCTATATTCTATATTCTATTCTATATTCTATATTCTATATTCTATATTCTATATTCTATATTCTATATTCTATATTCTATATTCTATATTCTATATTCTATATTCTATATTCTATATTCTATATTCTATATTCTATATTCTATATTCTATATTCTATATTCTATATTCTATATTCTATATTCTATATTCTATATTCTATATTCTATATTCTATATTCTATATTCTATATTCTATATTCTATATTCTATATTCTATATTCTATATTCTATATTCTATATTCTATATACTATATACTATATACTATATACTATATAACTATAAACTATACTATATACTATATACTATATACTATATACTATATACTATATACTATATACTATATACTATATACTATATACTATATACTATATACTATATACTATATACTATATACTATATACTATATTCTATATTCTATATTCTATATTCTATATTCTATATTCTATATTCTATATTCTATATTCTATATTCTATATTCTATATTCTATATTCTATATTCTATATTCTATATTCTATATTCTATATTCTATATTCTATATTCTATATTCTATTTTCTATTTCTATTTTCTATTTTCTATCTTCTATATTCTATATTCTATATTCTATATTCTATATTCTATATTCTATATTCTATATTCAATATTCAATATTCAATATTCAATATTCAATATTCAATATTCAATATTCAATATTCAATATTCAATATTCAATATTCAATATTCAATATTCAATATTCAATATTCAATATTCTATATTCTATATTCTATATTCTATATTCTATATTCTATATTCTATATTCTATATTCTATATTCTATATTCTATATTCTATATTCTATATTCTATATTCTATATTCTATATTCTATATTCTATATTCTATATTCTATATTCTATATTCTATATTCTATATTCTATATTCTATATTCTATATTCTATATTCTATATTCTATATTCTATATTCTATATTCTATATTCTATATTCTATATTCTATATTCTATATTCTATATTCTATATTCTATATTCTATATTCTATATTCTATATTCTATATTCTATATTCTATATTCTATATTCTATATATATTCTATATTCTATATTCTATATTCTATATTCTATATTCTATATTCTATATTCTATATTCTATATTCGATATTCTATATTCTATCTATAGTCTATATTCTATATTCGTATATTCTATATTCCTATATGCTATATTTCTATAGTCTATATTCTATAGTCTATAGTCTATATTCTATAGTCTATAGTCTATAGTCTATAGTTCTATATTCTATATTCTATATTCTATATTCTATATTCTATATTCTATATTCTATATTCTATATTCTATATTCTATATTCTATATTCTATATTCTATATTCAATATTCAATATACTATATTCTATATTCTATATTCTATATTCTATATTCCTTATTCCATATTCTATTCTATTCTATATTCTATTCTATTCTATATTCTATTATATTTTATTTATTTGGTGATAGTTAAATTAGTTTCTTTCTTATCAAAAATGTATTTTTGTTATGGCAGTCAAGAAGAGACGGTCGCTATTAATGTGCGAATGGTACGAGTTCGAGTCCTATTAAAGGAACTGCTATTTTTTTTTTAATTTATTTATTTATATTTTCGTTAAACAAAGAGCTCTTAGCGCAAGCTGCGTTTGCTTTTGGTAGAAGGCGATTCAGGATTAAAAATTTTTTTTTTTTTTTACGTTTGTTTATTTACGGAAAAATCCCTATTTTTCAGTCTAATGCGTTACGCAAACCAGCAACCCACTCCACAATATGCTTAAAGAAATTGTCATCGACCAATTCAATGATGCGAACATTCTCAGGAAACTTTTCACACTCTTTTAAGTGATCGAGCACCATTTGACCACGAGTATGTGTACCTGTAAGATCGACAGTGGCGTGCCAAGTGCTAGATTTCTTGATAAATTGATTCTCAAATAGCCATCCAGCTACCAACAAGGCATCGCATGGATTCCAATTAGTGTACCCATACTGCTGTAGGGGCAACCATTGTGCATTTTCAACCTGCGTAAGAATGTCGATTGCATCGTGCTTGTTTGTTAAAGCGCATTTACCAAAGTTATCCAAACGCCAGCTCTGAAAGAGAATAGACATATGTAAATACGTACACATGTTAAAGCCATTAAAAATCGGAACCCACAATGGATATGTTGAAGTGCTCCTTGGTACATGTTTCCCATGGGAGTATAGTGATTGGGCACCGCGTTTTTAACAACACGGCATGTGCTGCTTCCGGATCTGAGTGAAAATTGAACTCGGCAGAGCGTGATGAATTTCCTACTCCCTGATAGTTGCCGCCCATGATGTAAATATCTTTGATAGACTTTCCAAAATTTTCACCATACATAGTGAAGCCCAGTGCCAAATTAGTTAGCGGTCCTACCGCAAGAATGGTGATTTGTTGAGGTCGGTCCTGGCATAACTTGTGTATGGCCAAAACAGCATGCTGTGGCTGCACATAACTAGACACAGGCGCCCACTTTTCGTCATTCAAGCAATCGCCAAATCCATCGAGCCCATGAAAATACTTCCTGCTCACATCGACGTAGCCTGCTAGAGGCTCAACAGCTCCTAGATAAATGGGTACCTAAGCGGTAAGGACAGGATACGATAATTTATAGCTAGCGGCAGACAAGACGCTGTAACAAACATTTAAGTTTTGCTTTGATAAAGTCTATTCGGGTGTTGCCGTCTAGGGGATACCCTAAACACTCGAACCCAGCTACGAGCTTATTTGCTTTAGCAGCTATATATATATAAAAGTAAAAAAATTGCTCCCCCATCAGGGCTCGAACCCTCACCGACCGCATTACTTGCATTACTCGCCATCAGCTCTACTCGAAAGTCACAGCAACCACTAATTTTCACTCAGAAAAAATGAATCAAAATACCATCACACACACACACAGCTCAGAATATAATACAATCACAATGCAATGCAGTTGATAGAATCCGATTTGCTATATTGTCAAAAAGATTGTTAAAAATTGTGTCTTAATTTATTGGGCACTACAAATTGGTTATTTTTTTATAACTAAAAAACTTGATATATGCACTTATATATACCCTCGCTCTTATAACTTACGAGATTCGCTCAAAAAACAAAATTACGACATCTCGTACTGCGCAGGCACTAGTAGGAGCTGCGTTAAATTTCAAGTCTCTAGCTCTTATAGGTCCTGAACGAAATTCAACTGCAAAAAACGATCGCCTTTCAGAGGGATGGGCAGCGGACGTGAATGCAGAAGGGAAAGTGCCAACGAAGGAGAGAGGCAGCAGCTTAAAAGAGCGCGCAGATTGTCATATTCTGCGGTTGGCTACTGCCGGCAGCCGTCGGCGTTGTCTCTTTCGGTCATGTTTGATCGCAATCTAGTCACAGCTAGTTCGAGTTGACTGCCAAACAACAATTATACCCATATAAATTCTAATAAGTGCCCTGGGTAACTGAAACACAAATTTACATCTTTGAATTTGCTGCACACAAGAAGTTAGCATAAATTAGTTGCAAAAAGGCTTGCACTGTCTGCCAATTTATTTATGTGCTCTTGTATCCGTAATTTTTTTTTATCTGTCCATTATTTAACTGAATTGAAGGGGTCGCAGTTCTTTGAATCTGTTCTAAGTCACTAGCGTCTGAAACCCTATGTTGTCTTAAAATTTGACAAACGGTGCATAAATGTTGAAGAAAATTAATAATAGCAAGAGGCTCTAGTTTGGAGCTCCCTTATTCCAACACCAAATGCAGCTTTACTTAACAGCTGTATCAATAATTAAGTATTATTAAAAAAATAATAATAATAATAATAATAATAATAATAATAATAACAATAAAATAGCAGCACAGAAAACCGTCGTAATTTCAATACTGTTAGATTGCGATAGAATGCGAAGCAGATGCGCCTGAATGTGTTGTGTGTAAATTAGTGCATTAATGTCTGCAACTTTGGGTTTGCCGGTTGCATGTAAAAATGCATATAAAAAATGAGTTAACTAACGGGGGACTTTAAGGGACGATACGTCGCGCTTTTATTGTTTCCTAACTTAGACTAAAAAATACAATCTATGTCAATCTAAGCAATGCCTGCAGAGCCGCCGTCGCTGCCCCAGAGCCGCCATTGCTGCTGTAGAACCGCTGCCGCCGCTCTCGCAAAAGTGCAGCGTTAGCGCCTCGTGTGCGGTGTCGGATGACCGTCGCGGCCGGTGACATAGTTGCGACATATCCGTCGCCACATGACTCTGGTCATTGGCTTCCCCAGAACGCTGGGTCAGCACATACCAATGGTCAGTGGTTAACTACTCTCCCTCTCGAGGATCGACCGTTCTCGGTCGCATTTAAGTTTTCCAATATCTTCGAGATCTTCCGGGAGTTTCGACGCTTGATTGTCAGCCTATGGAGCCAGTAGACTCCAGCCCCCACAGCACAGGCCAACAGCATTATGCCGAAGGAAATCGCCAATGTATTTCCGACTGCAATACTGTCTCTGACCTTTTTCATGTAGTTAAGGTTGTTTTCACTCAGGCGGTGAATGTAGGAAAGGCTGAGTATCGAGTCATGGCCGCTGATGTTAAGCAACGGTGATGCCGCTACCACCGGGAACTGATTTTGCACGCTCTTGCGATTGAAGTATCGCGTGCCATTTACGGTGGCATAGGACGAGAAGGTGACGAGGTTTGTCCCATCTATCTTCATCGCAGTGCAATCGTCGTAGGTGAGTATTGCGCTACGATCGTTAATGACGATGATGCCGTCGTCCACTATTGTGACAGAGGCAAGACGACTCGGCTGCGTTTGGCAATGGGCTGTACCCCCTGCATGGAGGCCTTGTGCGTAACTGATGCTCTTGGAACGCTTGCAGCATGTGGCAGTCGCAGTTTGTGAGCAATTGGCTACGGCCAACATCTGTCCGTCGCAATCGGCCACAAGATTGTCATGGAGTTGGAGCACAGAACCGTTGTGGGCGACTGGGAAAATTGTTATCTTCCTGCATTGCTTACTTATTATAGGGAATTCGATTATCAAACTTATTACATTATCCTTACGCTCTACCTTAATATTAGATACTTTCAATATGTCAGTGATAGGGGTCCCTGTGATTTGGTCAGTGAGAATATTCATAAGATCAGAATAATCTATTATTGTTGGGTTTATTACGTTAATTTTTACTAGGGTTAAAGTAAGCATAAGGTTCCCTATTTCTGTTATTATCATTCTATTGCGTGTGCTTAAGGTTTCGAAAAGGTGGCCAGTGTCGGCCTGCTTTTCTTTTGAGGACTTAATAATTCTGTTAACGGTGTCGGTCAGTTGATTGATCTTTTCCTGCATCCTGGAATTTATAGAAATTTGTCTGTTGCTTGCAGTGACCAGCTGCATTTGAGTCAGTTCTGTTTTCCTGAAGTCGTTTGCGTCCGGGGTGCCCGCTACAACCTTAAGGGCTGTTCCCAAGAAGTCAAGGCTTCTTACCTTGCGATGGTGCACATCGAGAGCGGACAACATGTCCAGTACATGTCCAGTGTCAATTTCCAGCAATTTCCTCATATGGGATTGTGGAAACTTTCCTGTCAGCTTCATGGTCTCCGCAGTCATTGTCCTATAGTCCGTGAGATTGGTAGTGTGACGTAAGTATCCGTAACTGTCCCAAAGTAGAATGTCCCCGTCCATAATCGGTATGTAGTCCGCGTGCGAGTAGTCCGTCACCCGAGCCGTTGTCATGGACATGATTGAAAGTATGGTGAACGTAATCCTAAAATGTTGAAACTACTGTTATCGGAATGGTAATGAAAAAAACTGTGCTTTCAATTCAACGGAGGTTGTCCTTGTGGACCACCCTGCCCCCAATGAGGACCGTTGTCCCCAAGTCCGCTTCAACCTTTTTTTCAATGCACAAAGGCGATAGCTTGTTGCCTAGTCTGCGGTTCGTCTTTACCAGGACCTTTTCTCCTACCTCGAAGACTCTGTTCCGACGCATTTTATTAACCCTAGCGTTCTGCTGGATTTGGGCCCTTTCTATCCTGCCTCTAACCTCGTGGGTGGATTCCGGAAGCGAGTCAAGCTGGATGTCCTTAGGCTTCTTCTCAACCACTGAGTGAATGGAATTGTTATACTCGATAGTGGCTTGCAGGATAAGGTCGACTGTGTCAACTATACCCCTTTGGAGCTTTAAGCACCTAGCTATCTACAAAAGAGTGCTGTAAAAGCGCTCTACCTGACCGTTGGACGTGCTGTGAAGGGGAGGCGCATTTATCACGCTTACGCCGCAGTTATTCAATAGCAGAGACCTGATAGTCTCTGACTTGAATGCGAGCTCATTGTCGGAATACACTTGGTTAGCCGAAGGGAAAATATTCATTAAGACCATCAGAGGTGGTCTCGTGTCTTCCATCGTTCGAGACGCGATAGGCTGGACTACCGCAAACTTCGAGAACTTGTCAACACAAGTAAGGAAGAACTTTTTGTCCGTGGAGAAAATGTCAATGTGCAACATTTCTTCAGTCTGTGAGGGAAGTGGCGTCTGGCCGAGTTCCTGCTTCTTTGGGTGTCTGTCGTATTTTGCTTTCGTGCAAATTCTACAGTTAAGCACCACTTCATTAGCTAATTTGGTCATTTTAGGGAAATAGTACTCCGTCATGACCTGTTTTACATTCTCCTGAGCCGCCCTATGGGCTCGGTTGTGTTCCCTAGTGATGATTTCTCATCTATCACTGACATCGAACATGTCGGCCACGAAGTTTTTGCAATACCAAAACTTCGTAGTCGGAAAGGCTCTTACCAACTCGTGCTGGAAACTGGCCAAGATTGGGAGAGTACAGTGAAACGCATTAACCACGTTTGGGTTAATGATGGCCTTTATCGTTTCGATGAGGGCGACCGTATCGGTAAAGTTTATCAAATGGCGGGTTTTCTCGCCGAAAAGTATGAAATTTCTTTTTAAAGGAAAGCTAGATTCCTCTAATACAACCTGGTTTCGGAAGCAGTTTAAGGGCTTCTCCGTCGAATCGATTGTGTAAGACAGGGACAATTCACTGTGAATCGTGGCCGCATCAGATTCTGGTTCATCGCGGCTACCCTGCAGGGCGTTCACGTTCTGGCGCGACAGCGCGTCCGCTACATGATTCTCTTTACCAGGCTTATAGAAAAGCTTAGTCCCTGTTTCATCAATGCGCGCTTTCCAGAGCTTTATTTTTGCATTGGGATTGCTCTCGGATACCGAGAACGTGAGAGGCTGGTGATCAGTGAAGATATTTATGTCCCTAACCCCGTAAGGGAAGTGCCGTAACTTACCCAATGCCCAGACGATGGCAAGCAACTCCCGCTCGTTGGTAGCGAAGTTTGGTTCCCTATCTTTTAAGGACCGGGATATCATAGTAATGGGGCGACCATTTTGCTACAAGACAGCACCTATGCCATAGGCTGAAGCGTCTGTGGTCAAGTCAAATGGTTTTTTATAGTCCGGGTACATCAGTATGACGTCTTCCGACGCTAATATGTTTCTAAGCTTCTGGAACGCGTTGCGTTGAGCATCGTTGAATTGTATAGGGACCTTTCTAGACCTATACTTGCTAATGGATCCGTTTTCCCCTTTCAGGATGTCGGAGATTGGTTTCGCTATTGCTGCAAAATCTTTGATAAAGCAGAGGTAATAGCTTGCCAGCCCCAAAAAGGATCTTACTTCAAACACCGTGGTCGGCTCAGCATATTCCCGAATGGCCTTTACCTTTTCTGGATCTGACTTTGCACCGTTTTTAGTCACTATGAAGCCGAGGTACTCGACGCTTTCTTTAAAAAACTGTGACTTCTCGTGCGCCACGCGCATGTTCGCATTTAAAAGGCTCCCTAATACCCAGTCGACATGTCTGACATGGTCCGACTCGTTTTCCGAAAAGACGATGACGTCATCTACATAAACGTAGCAAGATTTTCCAATCTGCTCCCGCAGGACGTCATCTATGGTTCTCTGAAAAATGCATGCTGCATTCTTCAAGCCGAAGGGAAGTCGACAGAATTCGTACTTCCCGCCATTGATCGAAAAGGCCGTCTTCTCACGATCCTGCTCCGCCAGCGTAATCTGGTGATAACCTGACTTTAGGTCGAGCGTCGTGAAGTACTTGGCTTTACCCAGATTAGCCAGTATCATTGTGATACTTGGCATTGGATATTTGTCGGCAACCGTCTTGAGGTTGAGCTTCCTAAAGTCTATTACGAGACGTTTATTTCTATTGCCTACCTCGTCTGTGCTTTTCTTATCGACCACCCACAGTGGATTGTTGTAGGGCGATTTCGTCTTTCTAATTATACCGTTTTTTAGTAGTTCGTTGACTTCTGAAACGACAAAATCCTCTACACCCCTAGGGTAGGGGTATAGGTTTGAGTAGACCACATTTTCGTCGGTCGTACGGATCGTGGCCACAACAGCCGTGTTATAAGGCAGCGCCTCGTTGGAGTCCGCAAAAGCCTTGTTGTTTCGATGAAGTACTCGCAGGAAATCTGCCTTCACCGCAGGTGGTGCCTCTACTTCCTTATTTTTCGTGTGATTAACGCTCACACATTTGTGGTACTGCAACGCTTCCGAAGTCGCACCAAATATTAACATACCTTTTTTTAGGCATAAAACCGCTCCCACCTGCTTTAGCAGGTCCAGCCCTATGATTCCATCAAAAGTGGATAAAGAATCTAGTAGGAAAAAATATGTGTCGCACCCAAGCATGGATAACTTGCATTTTTCGGCGATGTTGTTGGACCCATGAATGGAGTGGACAACGAAAGGGGACTCGACCGGGACGACGCCTTTAAGGCGTTTGTGCGGTCTGATGTAATTTTTTGACGCACCCGTGTCGATTAAAAATCTCAAATCTACCCCCGCTATTCTCCGTCGAATGAACGGTAGCAGGGACCTTCCCCTAAAAAATTAGCGCTATCGCTATCATAATCGGGGCTATGTTCGTCTTGTTGTTCGTCTGACGCCTCTTGTGCCGCGTCGGTGTACCCTGCGCTCTCGGCCTCGCTCGCCTGGACGTGGTCTACCCTTTGCCTCCTTTGGACTGTCGCGCGTTCCGATCCGGCGGAGCGTTTATTTCCCTGACCTTGGCTGGCGTTAAACTTAGCCGAGCCCTGGTAATTCGAAAAGTTTGTGGGTTGCCTAAACCTGGAAGAAGAAGGGTCGACTTCCATGGGAACTGGGGCATCGGCCCCAGCTCTATTCTGGGCTTTGTCTGTGGATTGGCCGTTCTGCTTTTTGAAATGAGGATTCTTGCCCTGGCCACCCTGAGAGAATTGCTTTTTTTCTTGCTGTTGTTGTTGCTGGCTCCCTTGTGTGCGCTGCTCTGGACGAGATCGCTCTTCCTGCCCCCTAGCAAAACTTGTCGCGAAGGCATATCTCTCGTGATTAGCCTCGACCTCCTGGGCTAGCGCTAGTGCCGTCGGTAGATCCGAGGGGTGAGCCGAAAACAACACATCGGTTAGACTGCGTTTTAATCCAGAGATTAAATACGCGAAGTGCGTCACCCCTGAATTTTTCACACATTCCCGCTGCCAGATTGCTGTCATATGACATATGGGGTTTATTTGTGAGTAACGTGAGTTTCTTTTCAACCTCATCGTAGTACTGTAGAATGGACATGCCGCCCTGCCTAAGCGTACCCATATCCTGTTCAATTACATGGATAGGCCGCTTATCACTATAAGTGAAGTCCATCCTCGCTATGATGGCCTCAAAGTTTAACGGCGTGTTAAACGAGGCGAGAACCGCGTCTGCCGGGCCTCTCACTTTACTCCTAATGATTGCGGTGGCTTGGTAGTGACGTGAACTACCGTCGTATTTTTTGAAAATTTTATAGGCGGCATGCGCGGCCTGCCTCCAGGACACGTAAGTGTCTTGAGTCCCATGGAACTCGGTAAGACATTTTACCACGTCGAGCGGCTCATTACATTCCACCCCGTCTATGATTTCAACTTCCCTGTAAGCCTTTACTACCGGGACTGAAGGTTGTGTGTTTCTTAGCTAATTCGATACCTGCGCAATTTGTTGTTGAAGCTCTTGCTTTAGCGTAGCTTCCCTATTCGCGAATTCTTGCGCCTGCGCTGTGAGTGCGCTCCGGACTGCGGCCTCAATTATCGCACGCAACTGCTGTGGGTCCATAACTGAGTCTGTTTCTGTATTATGTTCAGTTGGGGTCACACAACCTGATACCTGCAATGTTCCAAATCCCCCTATTAACCTCGCTAAAATACTGTCGTCGCTATCGTAGTGTTCATGCGCGTCTACGTCGGAGTCACAGTCGCTCATTCGAATTTAAACCTCTGTATGAAACCGAACAACACATAAAAGGTTAAGCTAATGGGATTTTTACTTTTTTTTTTATTTTTATTTTTTTTTTTAAATAATTCTCATAAATTTTTTCCTCAATCAGAAATAGAGACTCCTTTTCTTACTTTAACAAAATTAATTTGTGCGTATTCGAAAAAAAAAAAATTGCTCTCGAAATTTTCTATTCTCACTTCACAAATCACTTACATGATTCTATTGTTGTGTATTTGTGTATTTTGATGAATTCCACCGCTGCTGTCACAACTGGAGTTTCGAAACCGTTTTATCGCGTTTTTTTTTTTTGTTTTGTATTGGGTTTTTTAGGTTGGGCGCCAATTAGTGCATTAATGTCTGCAACTTTGGGTTTGCCGGTTGCATGTAAAAATGCATATGAAAAATGAGTTAACTAACGGGAGACTGTAAGGGACGATACGTCGCGC